GGAATTTGGGAAGGGGTTTCTCTGGAATGTGGGAAGGGGTTTCTCTGGGATTTGGGAAGGGGTTTCCCTGGGATTTGGGAAGGGGTTTCTCTGGGATTTGGGAAGGGGTTTCTCTGGAATGTGGGAAGGGGTTTCTCTGGGATTTGGGAAAGGGTTTCTCAGGAATTTGGGAAGGAGTTTCTCTGGAATTGCCCTTGGAGGGCCCTGGTTTGGCTGGGAAAGAATTTGGGAAGGGATTTCTGTGGGATTATCCTTGGAGAATTCCAGTTCAGCTGAGCTGGAATCTGGGAGGGAATTTTGGTGGAATTATCCTTGAAGGGCTCTGGTTTGGCTGAGCTGGGAGGGAATTTGGGAGGGAGTTCTGTTGGAATTATCCCTGGAGAACCCCAGCTCAGCAGAGCTGGAATTTGGGAGGGAATTCTGTTGGAATTATCCCTGGAGAACCCCGCTCCAGCCGCGCCAGGGGGAATCCAGGAGGGAATTCTGGTGGAACTATCCATGGAGAACCCCGGTCCAGCCCTGCCAGGGGGAATCCAGGAGGGAATTCTGCTGGAATTACCCGCGAGGTCATGAACAGCAGCTTGGTCTCCATGTCGGGGGTGAGGCGGCACGCCAGGAATTTGCGGGAAGTTCGGGATTGCAGGAGCTGCAGGACCCCTGGGAAGACACAGAGAGCTCGATCCGACGGATTTCAGGGAACAGGGATCGAGACTCGGCTCGGAAAGATCCCAAAACCATCTGCCTGGGGAAGGTTTTTTTTAGGGATTTTCCCAGAGGATCACCCTGGATGTTGAAGGTGACCCTAAAGCCGGAGGGAGACGCTTCCAAGCATCCCATTTTTCCCAACATTCCCTGGAATTCCCGCCTCCAGAACCAGCCACGAAGGGAGAGACTATTCCCAGAGAAGGGAATAATCGACAGGAACATCATGAATGTCGATTAAAACCACAAAATCCACCCCCTCAGCTTTAAATCCTCCCCCTCAAATTTTAACCCAACCTGGGCGGGGTCAAATCCCAAATTTCAGATGCTGGAGCTCCTGGAATTCCTGTTTTTTTTTTTTTTTCCTGGAGCAGCCTCTGGAATCTTGGCTTTTGGTTTTTTTTTTTATGGAGCTTTTCCAGTTTCTCTTCCCATTTTTGGGGGTTTTTTTTGGGGGGGAGGGGGTTGCAACTCGTTAACGAAACGAAGCAGCTTTAAATTATCCCGGAATTCCAGGCTGGAATTTGGAATCATCCAATTCCACAGGCAGGGGGGGACAATTCTTCCCACTGGATGAGGTCGCTCGAGGGACGAGGGAAATTTGGGAAGCGTCGAATCCGAGCGAGGCGATTTTTTTATTCCCGTTTTTTTTTGGGGGGGGGAAGATTAGGAAAATCCAGGGAAATTGGGAAAAAATCCAGGGAAAAAGCTGCTCCAGGGGGTGGGGGAGGTTACCTGTGAATTGGGTGCTGAGCACCTGAGGGTTGTGCAGGATGTCCTTCCAGAGCTGCTCGAATTCCGGGATCCTCGCCACGTTCTGGAGGAGCCGCACCAGATCCCGGCCGATCATGAAGCAATCCATGAACTGGGATTAAAAACAAAAAAAAACAGGGAAAAATATCCCATTTTTCCTGGTCATCTGATGAAGGGGGGAGGGGAGGAGGAGCAGCCCAGCCCTTCCCACAGCTCCGAGCTCGGAATTCCCGATCCTGCCCCTCCGTTCCCCCCCCCCACCTGGGATCAGGATTGGGAACGTGGGCAGGGAAATGGTAGGAAACAAGGAGAAATTTGGGAATGTTCTCCCCCTTTCCCAGAGGGAACAACCAGCCCATTAAATCTCCCAGTTTTCCTCTCCCCGCTCCTTGTCCAGGATCCTGGGAAAGAAGCTGGAAAGAAAACAGGGATTTAGGGGGGGATACGCCCCCAAATTTGGGATTAGGGGTGGATTCTGATGGATCCAGGAGGGTTTTCCTGCCCTTCCACCACCTCCTGGGGGGGAGGTTGGGAATTCTTTCCCGGTTTTTCTGGGCTCTCACTCGTTCCCAGAGGAGGGAGATGCAGAAATCCACCTCCTGGGGGAAAATTGGGAATTCTCTCCCAGTTTTTCCGGGCTCTCACCCGTTCTCAGAGGAGGGAGATGCAGAAATCCACCTCCTGGGGGGAAATTTGGGAATTCTCTCCCGGTTTTTCTGGGCTCTCACCCGTTCCCAGAGGAGGGAGATGCAAAAACACACCTCCTGGGGGAAAACTGGGAATTCTTTCCCAACAATTCCCATCTCTCACCCGTTCCCAGAGGAGGGAGATGCAAAAATCCACCCCCTGGAGGGGATAATTGGGAATTCTTTCCTGGTTTTTCCGGGCTCTCAGCCATTCTCAGAGGAGGGAGATGCAAAAACCCACCTCCTGGAGGGGATAATTGGGAATTCTTTCCCAACAATTCCGGGCTCTCACTCATTCCCAGAGCAGGGAGATGCAGAAATCCACCTCCTGGGGGGATAATTGGGAATTCTTTCCCATTTTTTCCCATCTCTCACCCGTTCCCGGAGCAGGGAGATGCAGAAATCCACCTCCTGGGGGGAAAATTGGGAATTCTTTCCCATTTTTTCCCATCTCTCACCCGTTCCCGGAGCAGGGAGATGCAGAAATCCACCTCCTTCTGGCGCAGCCCCTGCAGTTGGGGGGTCCCGTGGTGGTCCACGAGGAGCCTCAGGTAGGTGTAAACGGCCATGGCCACCAGCAGGCTGCTCTTCAGCACCCATTCCCTGTGGAGAGACAATTCCAGAGGGAATTCCCACCGGGAATCGCGGCCTGGAGCGGGACGATCAGCGGGAATCGGGATAGGGAGGAGATTTATGGGATTGTGGGATCGTGGGATGGATCCCAAAGTGTTGTGGTTCAACCTGCAGATGCTCCTCAGCACCCACTCCCTGCAGGGAGACAATTCCCACATCAGGGAATTCCCGCCAGGAATCGCGGTCTGGAGCGGGACAATCAGCGGGAATTGGGATAGGGAGGAGATTTATGGGATTGTGGGATTGTGGGATCGTGGGATGGATCCCAAAGCTCATCTGGGTCCACCTGCAGATGCTCCTCAGCACCCACTCCCTGCGGGGAGACAATTCCAGAGGGAATTCCCGCCGGGAATCGCGGCCTGGAGCAGGACAATCAGTGGGAATCGGGATAGGGAGGAGATTTATGGGATTGTGGGATTGTGGGATCGTGGGATGGATCCCAAAGCTCATCTGGGTCCACCTGCAGATGCTCTTCAGCACCCACTCCCTGCAGGGAGACACAATTCCAGAGGGAATTCCCAACGGGAATCGCGGCCTGGAGCGGGACGATCAGCGGGAATCGGGTCAGGGCAGGGATTTATGGG